AAGTTTACACACGCTCCATTTCTCTTGAGTAAAAGTGGATAGGAATGTGCTCAAACCACCGAAAATCAATATATTTGGTAATAATAACAAAACCAGCGAGGAATGCGACTTTGACCGCGACAACTATTCATTAAAGTGTTTGCGAATGCTTTTAAATGACTTATTTAACATAATTATAGCGCGATTAAAAATTACAGTATCTAGTACCTACTTTTGTCTAATAATCGAATCTAAAAATATTCGAAATAAGTACAATAGTTTTTATGTGCAGTAATCCGAAATGACCAATGTATAATCAATTTTGCTTAATTGGTATGTGTAGATGATATTCAAATGTTTTCGTGTGATGGTGAAGCCGCTGGGTCAGCTTGTACTAAATCTATATATTAATACGTGAAGCAAAAACTTAGTACTACTCTTTACGAAAATTGCGCGGACGGAGGAGTATGAAATTTCCCACACTTATAGAGAACATAGAGAAGGAGTGCCGAAAATTAATATTCTTTTAAAAAATACATTAAAACAATAATAAAAAAAATCGGTTGTCTGTAAAGTCGGTTTACTGACGATCGTTGAACGTGACAACGTCATAAGGAAATACTGATGGAATGGTTTCATTTTTCAATTATCGCAATTATCGTTGCTATAAACAATCGACACCACATTCACTTTTCACTGAACTTCATACTTGACGAAAACATGTAAATTTAATGTATAGCAGCAGTCCACGCGGATGCATCGCTCACTCAAGTAGGAGAGAGACAGATGTGGAACGCTGCCGAACGCGGAGGCCGATTGTGCCGCTTTGTCACTCGTTGCGCGCTCTCGCTTGCACTTCAAGCCTTAAATGAAACGCCTCAGAGCGAGGTAACGCCGCATCAGTCATGTTTTTTCGTGCGTGCAGCCGGTTCCATCGAATTATAAGACGTTGTCACGTCAAAAAAACATTACACACACTACCATGTATTTGACACACAAATATGCGTACTATTTGTTTATTGTCAAACTTTTCTTATTGCTTATAGTCTGTGGTTAAATTGAGAATAGATTAAATATTATTAGTCGTTAATATTAATATTTACCTAAAGTGTAGTCTTGGCGAAATCTGTGATTAAAGAAAATAAATATAATAGTCTTTGACAATAGAATCATAATAGTGTACAAACTTATAATTTTAATTAACTACAGACGAATATCGACTACCTGGCTACCTCGCTAGTAAATATAATTTTAACAGTTTTATTCGCTTCGTCCCACAGCTGTACATCCATTAGGGATGTCCCTTTGTCGACAGCGACGACAGGTGCGAGACCGTTCATGTAGTTATTATAGTATTTAAACAGTCCACCCCTTGTGTTCAAGCATTTTGAGTTCAGAATTTGAATACCATTCGGGATTTTATGACTAAATGTAGATTTAGATATGGAAATGTAGGCTTTTCGAAGTAACTGGAGATTTTCGACGTGAACTCTTTAAATGTGTATTTCAATTGTGTTTATTATTGAGTGGTTATGAGCTATAATATAAATTTTGAAAGTTATAGAATACCATTTTTAATTTGAAATACGTTTTGTGGATTAAATATCTAGACCAGTATTAGATAGGATGAAATTAAGGTCAAAATCAATAAAAAACCAAAACTAACATTTTAATTAAAAAATCATAAACTTGTTAAAGTGTTTTACATATGTTGTGTATGTTGTATTCGATGAATTTAGGAGTTACTAGAAAAACAAGATTAACGGAAAGTAAATAATTTTTTTCTCAAATTCAAGAAAAATAAATTGCCTTATGGAACAAACAATGGCTCTCAACAATCACCAAAACTTTAAACATTTTCAAAAAGCTTTATCTGAAAAGCAGACAAAGTCAGTGCTTTAAAAATAAATCAAAATAAAACTTTTAAATAAATTTAAAAACAAATAATAAAACTCATATAATAAAAGTTGATGTCAGGTAATAAAGCGACTAATATCTGCGAACGACACTGGCTTGTTCCGGGCCAATTGGTCGAGCTTGGCGTGTTTATAAGGAACGATACGAGTTATCGCATGATCGTTTTTGAATCTAAAAGAATACTATCCGATTTTTTATCACGGTATGCCACACTAACCTCCTTGGGCTGCGTCTACTTAATCGTATCATTTTCAATACTACCCTCACATTATGTGTCTTAATTCCGCTACCCATTGTCCCATTTTGCCACCTTATGTTGGTGATGTTAGGGCGAATTGAAAGCCCGCACGAGTCACTATCGCCCCATCCTAGTTGTTTCAGCCCTGAAGAAATTATGCATTCCAGTATAAAAGACGATTTTTTATTTATTTATGGCTTAGGTGGGTGGACGAGCACATGGCCTACCTGCTGATAAGTGGTTACCGGAGGCCATAGCCATATACAACGTAAATGAAGCCGCCTACGTTAAGATATAAGTTCTAAGGTCAGGTTCACGGCAGAAATAGGCAGGGCGGTGGTATCTATCCGTGTGGACTCACAAGAAGTCCTACCACCAGTAAACTCATACGAAATCCTACCACCAGTAACCAGATAAAGACAACCGAAACCTAATCTTTGAAGTTAAGTCACGGTAAGCACGCTTTATTGTCTATGAATTCTACTAAGCGCTGAAGATCAGGTGGGCTCTCAGGTTACAGCATTTATAGTTAATCCACGCCAGTAAAAATGTAAAGTGCAAAAAGGAAAAAAACTATACATGGTTAAACCACAAAAGCTGTTTTATTCACCAAATTACTAAGAACAGGTTCGTGGAATACCATTAAAGTTTTAAGAAAGATTGGTGAACTGTATTTGATAGTAATCGTAGAAATAGTAGCGATAAATAAAATAAAAAGAAAAGTTAAAAAAAAACTTTTTCTAGTAATTCTAAAATGAGTAACATTTAAAGATGTTACATTGTCTTCAGAACTTGACATAGTATGTTATGAGACTAAATGAAATTTTAAGGTTTACTTTTTCCACTACCATATTCTTCGAATGACTATAAACTTCACGATAGAATCAGACGTTTGTTTATTTTTTTTTAATTTTTTATTGCTTAGATGGGTGGACGAGCTCACAGGCCACCTGGTGTTAAGTGGTTACTGGAGCCCATAGACAACGTAGACGCGCCACCCACCTTGAGATACAAGTTCTAAGGTCTCAGTATAGTTACAACGGCTGCCCCACCCTTCAAACCGAAACGCATTACTGCTTCATGGCAGAAATAGGCAGGGCGGTGGTACCTATCCGCGCGGACTTACAAGTGGTCCTACCACCAGTAAAAGTGCTATTAAGTTATACGAGTATCGAAACCATAATGTAAAAAATCGTAACAATAAAATGAGTGTCAAATAATCGCATCGTGTAACACGCCTCGGCATCGAAAATTCTGAAGCTAAAGTTAACACAGTGGTGCGACTAAGTTGACTGAAGTCGGAAACTACACAGATTAATGAGGATCAAAGTATATAACGCCGATATGTAAGGATCACGCCAAAGTAGAATGTGTTTGAGGTTGACTGATACCTTTGACCTCTCCGCAAACTAAATCTTTTTGGCCAACTTTGTTTTGTATTCATATTAACGAGTGCCTAATTAAGTTTTTTTTTATTGTTTATATGGGTGGACGAGCTCACAGCCCACCTGGTGTTAAGTGGTTACTGGAGCCCATAGACATCTACAACGTGCGCCACCCACCTTGAGATATAAGTACTAAGGTCTCAAGTATAGTTACAACGGCTGCCCCACCCTTTAAACCGAAACGCGTTACTGGTTCACGGCAGAAATACGCAGGGCGGTGGTACCTACTGGTGGTAGGACCTCTTGTGAGTGCGCACGGGCCCGCACTCCAGCTTCTAAAGTAAATACTTATAATTACGTATTGAACATCAGTTGAACCAAAATAATGTTATTGTTTTGTTTCTATCGCTAAGGAGCTCTTATTTGGATAGCATTTTGTAGTTAGCAGCTCTGCCCCTGGTATTACTGTAGTCCATGGGCAACGGTAACCACTCATCATCAGGTGGGCGATATGCTCGGCTGTCTACAAGGGCTACAAAAAATATACCAAAAAAATATTTACCACGCAGTATTGTAATAGAAAAATTGTATCTGATAGCTTCAAGTACAATCGAAAGAGTACAACTTACTACAGTTTAAGGATTTTATAATAATTTTAAATACAAGTTACACATAATATATAATGTACTATCGCTTTTTTCAAAGTTATTCAATTTCAAATCGTACCAAATCGGAAACTATGACGTCTTCAAAATAAAGACAAAAATATCTATAAACATAATAAAGAAAATAGCTATTTAAAATTATTGGTTCACTAAAAACTGCGACTTAAAGTCGTGGCCTAGAATTCATTTTGGAAAATCATTGATCTACTGAAATAGGATTACGTCCCACTCGTAGCTTATCCGCTCAATTGCGTCAGGAAGAGATAACACAATATTATATTTCCTTTAAGACACGTTGTAACCTTTCGTCGAAGGCGTGTATATATTTCTAAATTAATTAGACGCTCTTCGTTGCGAGATTATAAATCTATACTAATATTATAAAGCTGAAGAGTTTGTTTGTTTGAACGCGCTAATCTCAGGAACTACTGGTCCGATTTGAAAAATTATTTCAGTGTTAGATAGCCTATATATCGAGGAAGGCTTTAGGCTATATAACATCACGCTAACACCAATGCAAGCGGAGCACCAATAAAGAATGTTTCAAAATCGTTGAGAGCTTCCACTGCGTGCGCTGCGCAAACGATTCAAGTTTCGTTAAAGTAAAGTATAAGAGAGAGAATTGTTCCCCTTTAAAAGTCCTAAAAAAAGTCCGCGACAGCATATGTCTATATGTTAAGATCGGCTCACTATAACGTTTTTTTTGTTAAACAAATTTGTTGTAAAATAAAGAATTATTTGTGAACTATTCCACGCGGACGAAGTCGCGGGCAAAAGCTAGTACATAATATTACAATTAAAATACTAATAACGTACCGTCCTTTGACAGAATCGACATCCTCTGCAGATCCCTCGGGCTGAAGTTGCATGCCACCCTGCGCCCATGTCACTGTCAGCCAATCTGCAATAAAGTAGGAAACTATAGCTTTTGTGAAAATTATCTTTTAAGAAGTCGTCCAAAAAAGCACTGAATAGACATCGACGAGCACCAGACGAGGACCAATGGCTTTCAGATTGATAAAGGTCTAGTGGAAACTGAAGATAATGAAGGACCCTGGTAGTAGAATATCACTCTAAAGTACTAGACTGATATTTTTCTGTCAATTTTTCTCACTGAGGAAGAAGTGTGTAATCAGTAAACTTATCTAAGGGCACGCCAGTGAATTCACTGTTGTCCACGCTCGAGTCAAATTATTAGATGGTTTGTGGAGTGATATTATGTACTTTTAGTCCGAAAATAATAATTAGCATATATTTGAAAATTTATAAAAAAGGCGCCAAATTCGTGAACGAGTGAAAAAGGCACAGATAATATAAAAATGAAGTAATGCGTTTCGTTTCACGCTCTTAAGATGTTGAATTACTGTTCTACTCGAAACTTAAATCTAGTTTAAATGCTTTGGATAAAAAACTAAGATTTCTCTGGTATTGATATTTAGTGTTCTTCTATATTGTCTTAGAGCGGCAGAGAGCTCACGGCTTGCAACATTAGCTTTCCATGTGGTAGACATAGTGAAACGTGTACGCCAATCTTTATATATGAAAATAACGATGTCTTTCAGAACCACTGTTTGGACATATGACGGGCCCTTTTGGTGTTGATATAATAAATTGGTTTCCTATCAGCTACGATTACATGAATACTGTGTTAATGTTTGCGGTAACTAAAATCGAAGCCCGTAATTCCCAGACGTGCCGTTTATTACGACAAGAAATTTCCTATACATTCAGCCGCGTCGTGGAATCTCCGAGAGCGAGCCGATATGAAAGTGGCGATTTCCCAAAGGAAGGAAACGGGCCGACATAGATGCGATTCGCTCGTAACATATGTTTTCGGAAAGACCTTTTTTATGGGAACACAAAAAAAACGATACTTGCGTTTTCTAAGCTTTATGTGTTTATTTAAACTAGTGGTCCCGCAGTAGTCGAAATTCGACTATAATTAATTGGAATTGTAAGTTTGTACACTATTATGATTGTATTTTATATTTCTATAACCACAAATTTCGCCAAGGCTACTCTTAAAAAAAATATTAATAAAGACAAACAATATTTAATCTATTTTCAGTTTGAACACAGACGTCAAAACAAAAGTTTGACAATAAATAGTATGTATGCGTGTGTGCATAGATTATACACTTAATATCATAGATTATACACATAATGCTTAATATATTTGAGACGTGTGTGCGTCAAATACATGGTATATAGTTTGTGTAATGTTTTCTTTATTGATTTAATGTATCTTTTATGCATTATTTAAAAAAAATATTAGCATTGTGCACTTCTTCTCTATATTCTCTATAAGTGTGGAAAATTTCATACTCCTCCGTCCGCGCAATTTTCGTAAAAAGGTATACAAAGTTTTTGCTTCACGTATTAATATATAGATAAGATTTTACGACGAGAGAATAAGAAGTTACGATTTCAAATGCTGCTTTCGTTCGAATTGTATTTCTATTTTTATCATAGACATCGATGAAATCATAATCCACATTGTGCTTTCCACCATGAAACGTGAGCTTAGGTTTCTATTACATAAATATATGCTTCGCAGTAGATATAACCAATTCTTTTTTCGACTATAAACTTACGATCAATTATTTAAAGACAATTCTAAAAACTAACCTTAAAACTCCAATTATTTTTCTTATTTTTTTTCTGCTTAGATGGGTGGATGAGCTCACAGCCCACCTGGTGTTAAGTGGTTACTGGAGCCCATAGACATCTACAACGTAAATGTGCCATCCACCTTGAGATTTAAGTTCTAAAGTCTCAGTATAGTTACAAAATAAAGAAATGGGTACAGCTCTAATATACTATTCCGATGTTTCAACACGGAAAAACTCCGTTTTGCTATGGCTTTTTTTTAACATGAAACAGAATTAACTTCAGTCCTGTAGTTAATGTACATCCCATCGCCTTCCATTATTTTACCTCTGTCTACCCCGGCAAAAGCTTGAAGATACACCTAGTTTTCCTCAAAGCTCTTACAGACGACCCGGGAATCACGCCTGCCTCCCTCAGATATGCCTCATCCTTTGATAAATTATATTCCAGCACGTATATTACATTACGTTTCGTTCTGAATAGAAAAACAGATATGATATTCGTGACGTGGCTTTGTTAAGTAGTTTCATAACTTACACGTGAAAATCGTATATATTTTTAGGGTATCACATGTAATATTAAATGGTATTCGGTGTTACTGATATTCATTTTCGTAAATATCACAATTCCTTTCAAAAAGTTTGCTAGCTCCTTGGCTCTGCTCATCCTATCGATCCCAAGAAGTAACTAACGCAAAGAAAATACTAAACAGGACCGTAGCCGCTTGGCTCTGCCCCTGGCATTGCTGAAGTCCAAGTCAGCCTACACGGGCAATAAAAAAAATATATATAATCACGAACTAAAACGTAATAACTTGCGGTAGAGCCTATAAGACTATACATAAATAATAAAAATCTTACGTTACGGATGTTTTTTCCCGGTTAGGATACTCCTCCGCATCGCCCCATAAGGAATTTCGTTCCAAAAATAAAAAACCTACCGTTAGACACGAGTACTAAGTCTCGGTTTTACACTAGGTACAACGGCTACTCCACCCTTCAAACCAAAACGCATCATTGCTCCATGGCAGAAATAGGCAGGGTGGTGGTACCTACCCGTGCGGGCTCACAAAACGCCCTACCATCAAATCTTCTCTGATAACCACAAAGTTAAGAGATACCAACTCCACTCGAATCCATTCTATGGTGAATGTTGTTTCCGGAAAGACTCACACTGCATTCTACTATATTACCCGGTGCCTGATATTAAATAACAGAAGTGGGACGTGAACTATTATTACAATCGCGGTATTTTAATTCAATAAATCGAAACGTCACTAGTTATGTATTTACAACTCTATTATATGTATTAGATCATCTTTCTTTCATTATTTAGGTTTTTGTGTCGATTTATTTCTTTATTGGTGCGTAGGTCGCAGCACGTTTAGCCATTGGTACACTTATTGCTTGCTGGTCCTTCAGAAAATATATCTGACATAATACCCTAAAGGTGCGATGTGCAGCGTTAGATCAAAAAAAGAAGATTGGCCGATTATGCATTATTATCTGAATCTGGATATCATTATCCAACCAAATATAAAAGCCATATTAATATGGGAAATTAAACGGAAATTAAAGTTATTCAATCTGCAGGTTTTGGACGCGCCGTGCCGCATGTTCGGGATACCGCGACCACTTCATTTCCTACGATCTCATCACAAAGGTAGAGCCTAACCTGTACTCAGCATTGAATTTATGCAAAATTCTATGTCGGCCCGTTGAATATATTACACGGAGAGCCACTTTCAGCCATCTTTGATTAAACTGGGATCCTTGTAGATTATTTTACCTATTTACACCACCAACCCAAGTCTAAATATAAATAAAAGCAATCTGAGAACACATTTTTGGTACAATTTAAGATAATACCTGTAAAACCTTCTGAACCTTCTTATTACCTTCAGATAATAACTGCACCTTTGGATGGATAGGAATCTTTCAAGTGTCCTATCATGTGCAACGATCCATGAAGGTCACACCCAGCAGCATTCAATCGTGCTATCTATCTCCACTGGTTAGCAAAAGCTGTATACACAAATGTAACGCAGCTCAAATGATTTCAGAGATAAACATAGTCAGCGACGCATCATCCACGTGCTTTAAAAAAAACTCTGCACACTTTTATGCGAAATTCCGAACGCGTGCTGCCGTCTTCAAGATAAATGTCGATCCAAGAACGTTGTTCTACTCGAATCAACAGGGACACAACAAAAGCCTTTAGTTCCCTCAACATTATCATTATAATCGCGCGATTATCCATTTTCCTCTGTAGTAACGTCAGACATGCTACAGTCATGCGAATGGGATGTTGTTATGCGTAAAGAAACCAGCCGAGAGCTGTGTATATGTATATCGATACTTTTGTTTCGCCTACCTAAACTAATGGTCTTGAAAGACCATTTCAGCGTAGCCTTAACTAGTATGTGTGCTCACGGGGCTCAAACCTGACGTCGTTGCTAACACTAACCTTAGCAAGAGCAGTGCTTCGCAGAATCTACCACTGGGTCGGAAATCGGAAACGCGACCCGCGGAGAAGATCTGGCGAGAAACTCAGTGGGTCATGTCTGTGGGTTAATTTACTCGCCGATCCCTTCGTCGCAAGCGACGGGTTCGACGACAGCGATGGCCGGTGCTTGGGGTACCTAAAAGTGGATCGGGAGGATCCAAAATGAAGTGTTTTGGGCGACGTCTACTGTTTATCATTTGGTCCGTAAGATCGGAAATGATATCAATACAACTACGACTACGACACAAATAAATCACAAAGATACTCAAAATGCAATGTTAAACAGCCGTTGACACTTGTTTAAAAAAAAAGACTTTTTTCGGATTCTATGGTAAACTAAATTTTCGGTCTGGACTTCGTTACGCATCAATGCGTTCACATATCGATAATTCGACAAAGTTAAAACTTTATACAGTAACTGTTTGCCATTTAACGAAGGTTCTGGAATCTGGTTCGAGATCTGGATTTCCATGATTTTGACAAAAAATTGTTTCATCAATAGTAAAAATAAATCGTGGCAAGCATGACGTTATTTTATTTACTATTATTATTCTATATTAGTCATACTAGTTACTATTTAGTTATTAGTTACGCCAGATTTGAAAACATATAAACGAATTTATAACTTGGATTTTAATTTGGATGGCACGCAATATATTTTTTGTGATATCGTTATATTATTGAGTCACATTAGTAGATAGTATTTTTAATAAATCCGTAAACGAAATTTGTTAGTGTTAGATCGCGTTTACCATCATCCATATTGTTGTACCTTGTTACA